GGACCTAAACCTGTTCAGCCTTCACAAGAGAAGGCTGAGGGGGGACCTGGTGACTGTCTATAAACTCACTAGGGGGGACCAGAAGGGTTTAGGGGAGACACTGTTTCCCCTAGCGCCCCCTGGCATGACAAGGAACAATGGACACAAATTATTAGAGAGTAGGTTTAGATTAGACATCTGCAAGAACTACTTCATAGTTAGGGCAGCTAGGAGCTGGAACCAACTTCCTAGGGAAGTGGTGCTGGCTCCTACCCTGGGGATCTTTAAGAAGAGGCTTGATGACTACCTGGCTGGACTCATTTGAGTCCAGTCTCTTCTCCTGCCCAGGCAGGGGGTCAGACTTGAAGATCTACAAGGTCCCTTCTGACCCTACTTCTATGATTCTATGACTGGGGAATGACTGGCTAGGCTGCAGTGCAGTGGAGAAATACCTGCAGGTTACAATGGACCAGAAGCTGAATATGAACCAAGAGTGTGTTGTGGCAAACCCCTGCCCCTCCCCATAAAAAAAACAAACAAATAAAAAAAAAAAACCCCACCAGCAGCATGCTGAGTTGAATCAACAAGAGTCACTTGCAAATCAAAGGAAGTGATTCTTCCATTCTGTTCAGTACTGCTGAGGCCTCACCTGGAGTACTGTGTTGTCCAGCTTTGGGCCCCACACCTCAAGAAGATGTGGATGTTTTGGAAAGAGTCCAGTGCAAAGGGACAAAAATTATTAGAGCTCCGAGAAGCAATACTTATGAGAAAAGGATGAAAGAACCAGGGTTTTCTAGTCTGGGAAGAGAAGACTGAGGGGAGATTTGGTTAGTTTTCAAATACCTAAGGGGCGATTACAGAGAGGATGGAGATGTGCTTTTCTCTGTGGCTGCAGGGGAAGGACTGGGAGCAATGGCCTCAAGCTGTAGCAAAGGAAATGTAGGTTGGAGATTAGGAGGAACTTTGTGACTATGAGGGGGTGCTCAAGCATTGGAGTAGGCTACCTAGAGAAATTGTGGAATTTCCATCCTTGGAAGTTTTCAAGAGCTGGTTGGACAGACATTTGGCTAGGCTGGCTTAGTCATAGATAATCCTGCTTTGAGGAGGGGGCTAAACTAAACGGCCTTGTGGGGCCCCTTCCAGCCCTACTTTGCTATGGTCCTGTGAACACGAAAAGTAACTTAGGCAGATGATAATGCAATTTTATCCCAGAAATATGTTATCTTTTGTAACTAAGCTACTTTCTGTACACATGCTCCAGGGTAGGGGTGGGGGGTGCATTTTAATTAGAGCAGCTCCCAGGAGCCACTCCAATTAAAACGTCCATAGCTTCACATGTATTCAGTGCCCCGTGTTTCAACATGGTACCTGGGGCACTTAAACTAACACTTATTCAACAAGCTTTGAACCACCCCACCATCACCACATTGTGAAATGTGGGGACACTGAATACACGAGACGCTGCATCATGGGGGAACATTCTGATTAGTACACTCCAGCAGACTCAGCTGCTCTGATACGGTCTAATCGGAACATTTTGGAGCATGTGTAAAAGTGCCCTTTTCTGTCTAAATCCAGGGTTTGAATTGCACTTTGTCTCTTGTTGGGGGGGGTGGTGAGGGGTCTTCAAAAAAATTGGCCAGGGTTGGGGTTGTGTGCACAGGTCCCCACCAGTACCACGAGGCTGGGGCCAGTGGCAGCCGTTAGGTCATGGGTGGGCAAAAAGTGGCCTAGGAGGCGGATGCAGCCCACCAGGCCCTTCTATCTGGCCCATGGGGCCCCTAAAAAATTTAGAAAATTAACATTTATCTGCCCTGGGCTGCCTGTCATGTGGCCCTTGATGGCTTGCTGAAACTCAGTAAGCGGCCCTCTGCCCAGAATAATTGCCCACCCCTGAGTTAGGAGCTGTTGTTGCCACCTGGGCTGCTTAGAAGGGGGTGGTGTGGGATGGGCTGGGGGTGCACACAGTGGTACATGGGCTCTGGGCTGTTGCAGGGGGAGGGCATGCTGACTGGCCTTTGGAGGCGGTGTTCTTGTCTCTGTTGGGGGAGGCTCGGTCCCATCCCCCCCCAAACCTGCCCCATAGTTCAAACCCTGTCTAAATCTTAGTCTGTCTTCAGAGCATGTTCTCCAATTTACTTGTTGGCAAAGTCTTCGCACTATAATCACATACAGCAAGTTGTTCACATACATTTATGCACGTCCACACACTGGAAGCAAATTTTCTAAGAATCCAAGAGAAGCGAAGAGTAAAATCTATTAGATCATTCTCTAAGGACACTGACTAAGATCACATCTTAGTTTTGCCACTTAAGCACTCATGAAACAACAAACAGCATAGCAAGGTACAGCTTCCCGTAGGAAGTGAGATCTAAATACTGCTGTCAGAGATCTCTTCCTAACCATTTTTAATTCATCTTGTTTGTAATAAATTGTCTAAGCCTTTATGAATGCTTTCAAGGTTCAAAGAGGGAGTAGTATTCAAGAGACTTGCAGTGTAAGTGAATTTTAAGGAGACGGATGCGTACAGATCTGAAAGGCCATCCAGATGCACAGCATTTCAGAGGAGAAAGAACTGAAGGGAAACAGATTACGGAGTTAGCTTGAGTAGTGGGGAACACAGCTAAGTGCCCAATGCTGTGCTTTTCAAATGTTGGAGTTGTAGGCAGGAGCTGAGTTGTGCAGTTCTGTTTTTTGTTTTTCAAAGATTTAGTAGTATTATAACCACCAGACTTCCAATTATTTTAATATTGGTTTGTGGTGGCTAGATTCCACCTGGAGACCATAAACTGGACATAGTTCTTCTGCTTGTATGTGCATAAAAACAATGTGACAACTTTCTTAGAAAAAGAATGACTTTGTCCCAGCATTCAAAAACTGCAATATTAAAATTAACTAGCATGAGATGCGCTACATTTTTTTCATGGAAACGATGCAATGTGACTGTGCTGTACAGTGTTTGACCTTTGTACTTAATATAACTGAAATTAAACATTATGACCATACCTACTCTTTCATGTTCTAGAAAAAAATGTTTTAGTTCATTGTCTGTTCAATATTTTCCCCTTTTCCCCTGGGTGCTTGCTTTCCCTCTGTCAGAAGAGGAGGAATTCAGTGATTCTGGTCAACAGATTTTTATTGGTATGTGGTGAGTAGCAAGAGTCAGGTTTGGCTTTGCCTGAGTGTTTGTCTTGAAGCTGAATTGAATCTAGCTGACTTGTCTGAGGAGCATTCCTGAATTTTTCACCAAAGGTTCTCTGATCCCATCTTTATCCACTCTGCTTTTTAGATCCCAAGAGACCACTTTTTCCTATTAGCTTCTTCCTTATTGCTTCTCCAGGTGACTCAATCTCCCCAATAAATTGCTAGTGTAATCTGGCAGCCTCCTCCTACCTAAGTCTTTAAAGTTCCCTTCCTTTGGTATGAACTTACATAGGGCCAGCTGTTGCGACAGACTGTGCCTCATACCTCATGCTTTTGTGTGAGTGGTCTCTGGGACTTTTCAAAGCCATATAGTCTATTTGAGATCTCCATTCAGATGGGTTTCTAGGTCAAGGAACAGTCTGTTTCAGGTAAATGAATGGTACTAATCTGGAAATAAATTTGTGTTTACTTCAGAGATTAGACAAAATTCAAGCCAGTTAAAAATGTCCAGACTAGATCACCCATTTTTAACTAAATCTCCTCCATGCTTTATTCTGGAGATGTTTCTTTGGGTCTTAAATTCTTGGTGACTTTCAATGGGCCTTGTGCTATGTAATTTTTAAAATCTCACCTGTAGCTGCTTTCAGAGCTCAGTGATTTCCACCAAGTTGTTGTATCAAGTACTCTAAACAAATTAATTTTTGCCTTTTCGAAAAGGCAAAACTTGAGGTGTGTCTTAAGTGAAATGGAACTAGTGTTTTTTCACTTGCACTCAGTGCATGGATCTAATACCAGTATCTTTCTGCTCCTTCCAGCTGGTTTCCGAAGAAGCATGCGATTATGCCGGAGAAAATCCCAGAACATCCAACAGTCCTGTTATGCCCGGTGTCCCAGCATCTGTTACAGCACAGTAGCAGCCCCTTATGAAGAAGTGGTGAGATACCAGCGACATCCTTCAGATCGAAACAGACTGATTGTGCTAGTAGGTATGTTGTAGCAGCTGACAGTAATGTGCCCCACAGACGGGGGTGTACCTATTTATGCAAATCCTACAGGCTCTCCTAAATACAGAAGGCAAAGTATCATATTGATGAAAGCCCTGTGGAATATGAAATTTAACCTTCTGTGAGTCCTACCATTGATTACAGTGGCTGTTGAATTTGGCCTTAGAGTTAACTCTTTAAAATGATTCTTTGGTTGGTGAGTGCAAAATTTTACTTACCTCTTTTTGCCATCCATCAGGTTTTATTTGAGTCTATGGATATGTTTGCTTCTGTTCTGAAACAAAATCCTTTAATAGGATTTAGTTAGGGAGCTTCTGGAGGGGCTGGACGTTTTCAAGTCAGCCTGACCAGATGATCTCCACCCTAGAGTTCTAAAGGAATTGGCTGAGGTCATTGCAAGCCCCCTGGCACAGCTTGACGAGCACTTGTGGTGTTCTAGAGAGGTACCGGTGGACTGGAAGAGGGCCAACGTGGTTCCCATCTTCAAAAAAGGGAGGAAGGAGGACCCGGGAAACTATAGGCCCGTTAGTCTTACCTCGATCCTAGGCAAGCTGTTCAAGGAAAATTATTCTGGCACACATCCAGGAGGGGCCAGCAGGGGACTGCATGCTTAGGGGCAACCAACACGGGTTCATCAGTGGCAGGTCCTGTCAGACCAACCTGGTGGCCTTTTATGATCAGAACACCAGATCATTAGATGCAGGGGTAGCAGTGGACATAGTCTTCCTGGACTTCCGGAAGGCTTTTGACACTGTCTCTCACCCCGTTCTCATTAAGAAATTGGGGGGCTGTGGCGTAGACACCCACACAGTCAAACGGGTCACCAACTGGCTGGAGGGCCGCACCCAGAGGGTGGTAGTGGATGGGTCCTTCTCAACCTGGAAGGACGTGGGCAGTGGGGTTCCGCAGGGCTCGG